TCTTGTATATAAGTCTTTATTTTTTAATGACAAAACTCGCCTACTCATAGCGGGATAGATAAGAGTTACAAAACTCAATCATTAATGTTACATTAATATATTTTTATTATATATAATTTATCTAATTTATTATATTTTTTCATGGTAATATTTATCATGATATATAATCTCTTATTCTTATTAAATTTTAAATATTATAATTATTTTTATGATATAATTATGTAAAAAAATTTAATTTTCTAATTAAATGTAATTCTCATAACGGGTGCGAGTTTGATTTGATGTCGTGGATCGAAAGCGACTTATCTTTTAACACGATTCTAATATATCGAAAGTAAAAATGATGGAGGAAGACAAGGATAACACGCCTATAGGCTTGAGGAAGAAGAAGGTGGTCACCCGACTTGCCCAACCCCCGATGTACACTTCTCTAAAGAGACAAAAAGAAATAATTGTAATCTACTATTGAGGGAAAATAATAATATTATTAATATTAATAATTAACCGCGACATCTCAGACTGAGCTTTACCATCCATCACAGGGGTCATCATCGAAAGACAATTCCATGACGTGATTCCAGGTTTGGCCGCGACTCGCGCTTGCCGATCTTGACGTGGAAGTCTGCCTTCACCTAAACTTCGGCTTTTGATTGTCTTCTTGTGGTGAAACTGCAACAGTCCTGCGGCCAAATGAGATGATCTAATGCTGCGCTCCAGCATTGGAAACTGGTCATGTTGCAGTCGAAGAACCATCCGTTCTCGGTTCTCCGAAACAAAAGAAGATTCACACTCTTCCTTTCCTCATTACTCTTTTATTTTTAGAACAGAAACAAAGGAAAGGAAGATTACGAGTGGCAGTTGACTAGATCGAGTGCAAAAGTAGCGTAATGGAAGAAGCATAAATGGCAGATTCCCAGACCACTGACGATGTCAAATCCATGCATCAAAACTAGATGCTCATTCAAGTTGTTCGTTCCACGGTGATTATTCCGGTCCAGGAAAGGGAGGAGCACAGGAGTCATAAACTATGTTCGATGAAGAATCACTCCATTCATTTGAGCTTCCGTGACTGAGCTCACGCGGAATTCGTGTAGTGATGTTTTACCTAACCTTTTACCTCCTCCTTTGGTCGGATTCGGATATCTTTGTCGATTGGAGCAGCACTTTCGAGCACCAAAGGAATCAATCGACTAAAGAAATGATTTAGGAAATCACTTGGCGTAAAGTAAACTAGTGGTGAGATTTCGGGTTTGTGTCTTCTTTAAAATGCC